TCGTGGGGTTTTAAGGTTTTCGCATTTTAGGGGTTTAAAGGTTTAGGGTTTTAGGTATTTGGTTTTAGGGTTTAGGATTTTCGAGCTTTTTGGGGTTTAGGGTTAAAATTGTTTAAATTTTTTGTTGATATTGGAATTATGAAATGAGACTTGGAGTCGGAGTAGATTACCTAAAATCATGTTATAAAGATCAATGTGGATCATTAAGCTATAATAAAGCAAACTAGAGATGATCATAAAGTCAGAACCATCAAATTTCTGGGAGAGTTTTAGTGTGTATCACATCAGTTAGACAAAATCCTATACGTCTTTATATGTGTTTGAGTCTTTATCTCTCCATAAGGGCTTTCTTGGAGAGATTATGTTGGACTCCACATATATCATACCTGTCTAAAATCATGCTAATCAAATCACTGAGGTCATTAAGCTATAATAAAGCAAACTAGAGATAATCATAATGTCAGAGCCACTGACTCTTAGGGAGAGTTTTAGTGTGTACCATATCAGTTAGACACAATCATGTACATGTTTATATATGTTTGAGTCTCTCTCTTCATAATGACTTTTTTGGAGAGACAGTCTTGGACTCCACATATATCTTATATGGTCTCATAGTCGATATGTCCCACCTTCGTGGCTTAACATATCATTTTCTATCCTTATCGAGCCTCCGTCTCTGAGGGGAGTGGTAGTGTGTCCCTTATTGGTGTGCTTATATATGTTGAAGTCTCCTCTATCGGGCTCTTTAGAGAGTAAACCAAAGCCTCCATATATATCTTATAGTTAGATCTACAAACGATTCGTGAAACACATTAACAAACAAACTATTACATTTACATAAAAAATGAAAGTACTAATAATCATTTGTTACATATTACCTACTATGTTCTGAAAAACACAGGCTTCGTTAATATATGCATCTGTTAGGAAATGGAAATGAACAACTTCATCTACACGTAGAATTGATATTACTAATATGATACGGAAACACATATGCTTCTTTAATGTTTCATTTGGCTTTCAAGTCTCAATTTTGGTATAGTCATTGAAAAACATTATGGAAATGTAACCGTCAACACTAGAAACTTATAATTCATCATTATTCAATCGTTCTTTTACTATTAAGGCTTGATTAAGCTCTTCCACGTATTCGGGCTCCACTTCATTTTGTATTCGGGTTCCACTTCATTCACCTCCAGATCTTCTGGAATAGACTACTTTATTCTTTGCTTCAATATTCCCAACACTAAGGTTTTTCATCACTTATATGTATTCGTTCATCTTGTTGATTTCTAGTTCCAAACGAACGCTTATTTTCAAGATTTTTTAGTAGCATAGTGATTTCTTTTTTCGTGAATTTCGTCATGTAATTTGCTCTATTCACTTTGAAAGATAATCGTTTTAGTTGCTTGTTGGCTTTTTTGGTTGCATCACTTAAAAGTTATTGTTTTGCGAAAAGTAAAATCTAACAGTTAGTTTTTCAATAAATACTTTTAGTATGCGAACAGTAAAATATTATATTTACAAAGCATTTATAAAAATTAGCAGTCATTTTTCTATAAATGCAAATTATAAAGTATACTCTTAGTTCACAAACTGCTATAAATATGTAAGCATGTAAAATGATACTATTAGTTCACCAAGAGTAACTATAATATTCACTAAACAATTATAAATTGTATTGCTTATATTTTCGCAAAATCAAACTATAAAGTATACTCTTAGTTTGCAAACTGTTGTAAACATGTAAAATAATGAAAACATAACTTGTAAGAACTAATAAACGCCATTTTGCGAAATGTCTCTGTGTGCACGAAACATACGTAAACAAGAGTTAAGTAGAAATTAGAAAATATTGACATTTGTCCGGTTTTTATTGTGTGATTGATTAGCATATTGACCTAACATATAAATTGTTAAAACATAACTTGTAAAAAGAGTGTTAAACGGCATTTCATAAAATCTTTATATGTGCACGAAAAACAGATATGCAACAAAATCACAAAGCATTTTCAATAGTTTGAAGAAATTAAAGATTAAGAACTTGTAAATAGTTTGAGAAATATGTCGGAAGAGATTACATAATTATCAATTATGTGACATAGTGAGATCATTGGTCTTGCCTCACAGAATCTTAAATTCATTCACGAAATAATGGGATTTCATTAAAAACTTGGTAAATGTGGTGTTTTTATAATATTTTATTATTCCTTAAATATTTTTGGTCATTTTTTTTTATTTACCAGAAATAATTTGGGGATGATATTTGCCGTTTTACATGAATTTGGTGGAGATGATGGTGATCAAAATGGATTTAAATTGCTTTCAAGAAAAAAGTTGTATATTTACTAAATTGATTCCATGATGCTAATGTTGACACATTTAAAGTTTATTGACTACATTTACATGTTAAGCCATGGTCAAGGGATAAATTCCTAATCATACACGGATCTCAACGATATGGAGATGGACAATAGGAAATGGATCTGGATTACTTTATAAGAAAAAAACAAAAACCAAGATTATAAGTATCGCATCAGATATTGAGATTCCATCGCCGGAACAATGGATAAAAAACAAGTGGCGATCGTCGGAGCCGGAATCAGTGGCCTCCTCGCCTGTAAATACTGCCTCTCCAAAGGCTTCAACCCCATTGTCTTCGAGTCAGAATCCGACATTGGTGGCGTATGGGCTAAAACCTTCAAAACCACCAGGCTCCAGGCTCCAAAACCTCTGTACCAGTTTTCCGACTTCCCATGGCCGCCTTCAGTCACCGACGACTTCCCTACCCACCAACAAATGCTGGACTACTTCCGGTCCTACGCCACCCATTTTGATCTCATACCCCACATCAAATTACACGCACGAGTCAAGGGAATCAGCTACGACGGACCATCATCGGAGCCATGGTCCCTATGGAACAGCACCGGCGAACCATTTCCACCCAACGGAAAATGGAATGTCACCGTTGAAAACACTGAAACTGCCACAACCCACGTATGGAATTCAATAATTATCTGTATTCTGCATTCATTGATATACATAACGAAATTGAACTCTTTTCATGTGAAATCACCAGGTTTACACCGTGGATTTCGTGATTCTCTGTTTAGGAAGATTTAAAGACGTTCCAAACATACCGGAATTCCCCGCCGGAAAAGGCCCTGAAGTTTTCCGAGGCCAGGCGATTCACTCCATGGAATACGCTGCCATGGATAATGAAAAAGCTGCTGAATTCGTGAAAGGGAAGAGCGTCGTCGTCGTGGGGTTCGGGAAAACAGGACTCGACATTGCAAGAGAGTGCTCCTCAATCAACGGTTAGTTGCAGACTTGCTCACCGGCGCATTTATACCTTCTCCGGTGATTTTCCTTAACTTTTTAATGTTGATTTTCAGGTCCAGAACATCCATGTAAGATAGTATATCGACGTGATCACTGGAAGCTCCCGGACTGGGCTCCATGGGGAATCCCATTCACATATTTATACTTCAATCGCTTCTCGCAGCTTTTGGTTCATAAGCCCGGCGAAGGTCTTCTCCTAAATCTCATCGCCACTTTACTTTCACCTCTAGTAAGTCCCTCCACATCTTCATTATTAAACCAACGAAGCAAGATCAAGATCGTTCTTTCTTTTCTTTTTTTTTTTTCCTAATCACTAAATGTAACAGAGTTGGGGAATCTCGAAACTTGTGGAAAGCTACATCAAAAAGAAACTTCCGATCAACAAATTCGACATGGTGCCACAGCATAGCTTTTCGAAAGACACCCGTGCATGTTTAATTACGTATATGCCTAATCCAGATGACTTCTTCGATGAGGTTGAGAAAGGAAGCATCAAGTTGAAGAAAACACAAAGTTTTAGCTTCTACGACAATGGTATTTCGATTGAAGACGACAAAACACGTATAGAAGCAGATATTGTAATATACGCAACTGGATTCAAAGGCGCAGAAAAGCTTAAAAACATTTTCGAATCATCAACGTTTCAGAAATTCATCTCTGGTTCACCACGAGTCCCTCTTTACAGGTTAACCGATTTTTTTTTATCTCTTTTTTTTTTTTTTTACAATAAAACCGAGAACCACAGAGGAGACCTTATACTGTTTGTTAATGATGTTATCAGGGAATGCATTCATCCACGCATACCGCAGTTAGCAATAATTGGATTTTCAGAGGGTCTTTCGAATCTGTACGTATCAGAGATGAGGTCGAAATGGGTGGCAGCGCTTCTTGAAGGTGCGTTCAAGCTACCGAGTGTTGATGAGATGCAGAAGGATATTGCAAGATGGGATGAATATATGAAGCAAACAACTGGGGAATACCATTATCGGTCGTCAGTTGGTGCTTTAGAGATATGGTACAATGATCAACTGTGCAGAGATATGGGTATGAATCCTATGAGAAAGAATGGAGGGTTGGCTAACCTTTTTGAGCCTTATGGTCCCATGGATTACGCCTAATGATGTGCCCGAAGAGTCATGCATCATGGTCCATCTATCTTTTTTCTCTGAATCAAATCAATAATATTAACTTTTGGTAAGAATTTTTCAAATTTGTGGTTACTTTTTTAAATGAGAAATTTTATCAAATTATCAAAAGGAACGGGGTTTTTGAACATTTTGACCATGAAAATTTGAGTTTTGTAGAATGACCAAGGGATCCTCAGAGGGGTTTGCGGAAGCCTTTTACCTTATTAGGAATGTGAATAGTAACAAGGAATTGAGGTGGCAAGAGAAAAAGATAAAAAAAATAAAAAATAAAAAGGGTTTGTTGCATAGTTCCTCAGAGGGGGGCTCTGAGGAAAGGTGGTTGAGGCTCTGAGGATCTGTTCTTCATCAACACACCTCTGAGGAACTGTTCTTCAGCTAATGAAATCCCGATTTTTGTCATGGTTAGCCGAAGAACAATTCCTCAGAGGTGTGCTGATGAAGAAAAGATCCGTAGAACCTCAACAACCTTTCCTCAGAGCCCCCTCTGAGGAACTATGCAACAAACCGTTTTTTTTTTGTCTTTTTCCCCTGCCACCTCAATTCCTCGTTACTATTCACATTTCTCCGAAGGTAAAAAGCTTTCGCAGAACCTCCTCTGATGATCCCTTGGTCGTTCTACAAAACTCAAATTTTCATTGTCAAAATATTCAAACACCCCATTCTTTTTGGTCATTTGATGAAATTTCTCTTGTTAAATTTGTGGTTAACTTATTTTGTTAAATTTGTGGTCTTATTGTTAAATATGTATCAAAGATGATGTTATTCTTAGTTTATGATTACTTTTGTGTTATAAGTTACCCTGTCTGTCTGCTTCTTACGCTGACCGTCGATTGATCTAATAGATCCAATGGTTAGCGTTTAGTTGGTACAAGTAGCTTTACTGACGACAATATGACGACTAAATTGATTCTAATTCCACATAAATATGACATGTTAGTTTAGTAATTTTGATACTCATTCATTATTTGTTATATTTTTTTGGTAATTGGAAGTTTGGTTTATCTACTTACTTTGGTATTTTAGTTTATGTTAGTTTTGTATCTTTGGTAATTGGAAGTTTGATATGTAGTTTGATGTATTGATAACTTGGTAATTTGGTATCTTGTTAATTTTTGTGATTAATTGGAAGTTTGATATGTAGTTTGGTTTATGTTAGTTTGATATTTTGATATCTTTGGTAATTGAAGTTTGATATATATTTTGGTATTTTGTTATGCTGATAATTTGTATATGATATGTTGGAAATTTTGATAATTAATAGGAAGTTTGGTATCTAGTTTGGTTTATGTTTATTAGTATTTTGGTATGTTGACAATTAGGATGATATTATTAATGCCCATATTTATTTTGTAGGCGGACGATCATGTCTATGCTATTGTAAAAAACCCGATATATAGCAAGAAACTTTTTAAGTGGTTTCGATCGAGTAAAAAAAAAGGTCAGGGCGAAGATGGTGAGGATACCCGGTGTGATGATGATGAGAATGATGGGCCCGAAGACAGCGGAGACGGCGAGGATGACTAGTTAGTTTATGTTTAGTTGTTTTGTTAATGTTGTATGTTTGTTAACGACTTTAATTTTATGGATTTTTATTAACTATTTTAGATTATAATATTTGGATTCTTCATTTATGCAATTTTAACACTATTTTTTATAGATTTAAATAGTGCCTTTATAGATTAGCGGAAATATTTAAAAAAAAATGTTTTATCGGCAACATACAGTAACGGTGATTGGCATTACCGTCGACATGGAGTAGTACCGGCGACAGGTATTACTGGCTACATAATGTCACGGGTAAAAGTAGTATTGGCGACAAATGGGGCATTTACCGACAACATAATGCCTCAATTTTTGTAGTGCTCCTAGCACCATCTCTTGATAACTTCATCACCTTCTCCTTCCACACCAACATTCTCCCATTAGCCGGTGGGGTTCCACATATATAGTGTTCCACAGTGGCATCGTTGCCGCATAACTTCCGTGTATGCTGTGCAAAAATATTTAAATTTTTTTTCTAATATTGTGCCACTACTATTTTTTTTTCTCGTGTCACCCTTAGTATGAAATCATGCATCCGTCCCTGTCCATTAGTCGTGGTCCGTCATGCCACATAACAGGATCGTTGCACGATGGAAGAAGGGAGCGGTTTGCACGATCATGCTAGCCTTGTCACGTGATCATAGAGCACTCTCATGTCTGGTATACCCGAGGGCCTTACCATATGGGAAAATTTAGGGCATGGCCTATAGAGGGGCATAGTGTAGTTGTGCGAGACCCGATGCCACATCAGCACGCTAAGCATGCATGGTCGGCGTAAGTCGTGTGGTTTTATGCATCATTATTAAGCATGTGAATTTGATGGGTTTTCTCTTTTCAATGGTTGTGCAATTATCATAAAAAAAACAATACAATGCCTTAACGTGTGTATCTTGTCTTGTACGGGTCAAGGAGCAGACCATCATGTTTAGATTTTATTTGGTGCAAGTATGGGACATCATTTCTAAACAAATTCTAACATTGACACATTGACACTATATATTATATTAATTTTGTATAAAACTTACATTAAAACTCTTTTTAACTCCAAATACGATACTAATGTTTACACTAAAAATATATGGGGAAATTACTAATCTAGCCTAAAACACTAATTACCTATTTAAAAATAGCCAAAAAACACATTAGCCAAAAGTAGCCCACGAAATAGTAGATTGACCAGGGTTGACTACGGTCAACGCAAGTTGACTACGGTCAACGGTAGAAAACTACTCTTTCGTGGCAATGAGCTATTGTTTTCCGGTCCGTCAACTCTTTCGCGGCCCATTGGCCATAGTATATAATGTATAATTTTTGAGATTTTGTTATTTTGACTATTGTTTTCTTGGTTTTACCTACTTTTTTCTCTCAATTGAGCACCCAAAGAACAACAAGGTGCGTCTATTTTTTATCAAAATTTTACTGTATTGTTGATTAGGATTAGTTTTTGTATATGGGGATAACTTTTTTTTTTTAAAAAGCGAAAAAATATATATATTAAAACCGTAGGTTTCATACGAAACCTACGGTGTACAAGCGCACAATGCACAGATTGTGCAGTGTGGACTTGTACACCGTAGGTTTCGTATGAAGCCTACGGTTTTGTTTTATTTTTTTATCGTTTTTTTTTAAATTTGTTGTAACCTCGTAAGCCATCATATATACGTTATGATTTCAAGATTTTTTTTTTCCAAAAAACTTTAAAAAAAAAATTAACGAAACTGTAGGTTCTTGAGAGGAAATCGTAGGTTTCCAAAAAACCTACGGTTTTACGGGTTCAAAATGAATTTTTTTTTATACTTATCACGAAACAGTAGACCATTTGGCAAAACAGTAGCCCACTTTAATTATCTACGGTTTTGTGGGCTATTTTGCGATAATTCCTAATTTTTGGCTAAAAATGGTTAATTACTTCCTTAATTAGGCTAGATTAGTAATTGCCCCAAAATATATTCTAAAAGTATTATCATAAAATTTCATATTCTTTATCATCAGTGGCAGCCCTAGCCCTGGGATGTGCAAGCGGCGCGGTCGCATAGGGCTTTCGAATTTATGGGACCTCTGAATTTTAGGACATATAGTTATGGTGTTGGTATTTTGTAAAATACATTTTTATGTGTTATCATTAAAAAAAATAGTCGTAGTTACTTATATACACAATGTAACATTTGTTTCCAATCTTGAAGCCATTTTAATTATGAAAAAAAAAATCAAATAAAATCTAAAAGTTAAATCTAATCTTAAATTCTAAAATTTATACTAATTTAAGGAAAATACATTTATCCAAAGAAAAATAAAAATACTTTTCTGATATGAGTTCTAGAAAATGATTTCATTTTTTATAAAAGACATTTTACTCAAAAAAATCTAATACAAAAAAATCAAATTCTAATCATAAATTCTAAAAGACATTTTTCCCAAAGAGAGTATCGCTTTAAAATAGTTGTCAACTACAACGTGAGAGAGTAGGATTGAGAGCATTAAAGTAATATTGACTCAAATATAAAGATCAAAAGTGAAGTTATTTGTCTAGTAGAGTATGAACTTGAGACTTTATAAATGGTATGGTTATATTGTATCATATATTTGTTAAAGTAAATAACATGATCAAATAACTTCAATATGAGATTATGCATATTGATGAGACAATGAGCAGTGTGAGAAATTATTGACTTTTTAAAGACTACTGAGAGAATGAGTTTGAGAAGGCTTTGATCTGGTTTTTGTTGGGAAAAATAATAGGAGAAGATTTTTTTTTTTTAAAAGACATTTTGACGGGAGTGATGTTGGTTCATCAAAACCGGTACAAGAACTTTCACCTCAAAAGTCATTCATAATTTAGTATTTTGTGTACATAGTTAATCAAACTATTGGTTCATTGGAGCGAATGTTTGAACAATGCAAACAATATGAAGACGTTTTTAGTTTCTTATTCACAATAGAAAATTTGAAGTCACTAAATACTAGTGAGCTAAAGGCAAGTTGTAAAATCTTAAAAATAGGTTGCAAAATGGTCATATCTCAAACATCGATGCTAATGATTTTACTCAAAGAACTGAATTTGTTACAAAAACGTTTACCAATTAAACATAATACAGCTAACAGAATACTAAATTTCATAAAAATGATAAACACTTATCCAGGTTCTTGCCTAACATACAAATTATTGTTGACTGTTTTCATTACAGTTGCATCAACAAAAAATAGTCTTTTCAAAATTAAAGCTTTTAAAATCTTATTTACGTTCGACCATGTCTCAAGAGAAATTAACTACGTTGGATTTAATTTCAATTGAGAACGAATTTCTTAATAATATTATTTATGAAAGTATAATAGATGAACTTGCTTCTAAAAATGTTAGAAGGTCAATGTTTTGAAATAGTAATCCGTTGACTTTTTATCTTTTTATTTTGAAAATTTGGTTGTAACAATTACAACTTATTACTAATGAGTGAAAACATGATGTTGTGGTAGTGAATTTATTTGTTAGCAGCTTTAAGTTTTGAATTCAACGGTAGAAAAATTACTTAATAATATTTTACAAAAAAAATTATTGGACTTCACTTTGATTTTCACACAAAAACTTCGAAATGTTAAGGTCGGGCCCGTTTATCATTATATGAGTTTAATTATTCCCATTAGCTCTTATTATATTTTTAAAATATAAATAGAAGTTATGAATAACACACTATAAAAATAATTACTGTATCTTAACAAAGAATTGATGTTGGATATAGGGTTTGTTAGGGATGGAACTTTCAAGAAATAACTCGGAAAAAATGTTCGTTTGATAGTATAAGCTTTTTTTTTTTTAAATTGAATCCAAAATCTACTTCAATTAGCTTTTAGAGCTTTTAACTCTTGATTTTTATCTAATTTTATATTTTTAAAAGCTAACAATTACTTTTGCTGAATTTTAGCAAAAATAAAAGATACAACTTCCAATTTCCGGCTACCAACTTTCAAATACAAGTTAATTTTGTCAAACAGATCCATATAAATGTATTGTGACTCTTTTGAACTCTATTTTCGTGTTTTGAAGGTTCCATTATAGATGGTCTAAGTCATACCTTAATTAACTGTAATAAACAAAATATGATAACACATGAGCATACAGAAAATAATAAATCAATGGAGATTTTCAAAATAAGCTAAACATTAATTGATAAGTTAAACATGTTACTTGAAAAAAGATCTTAAATTTTAATTAAGAGTCTGTGTTTCTTTTTGGTAATATTGCTAATGAGAGTTTATCGCATGGTGTAAAGAAAATAAAATTATAGTTCTAGTTATCCTACGAATCTCCAATTTTGTAATACCATCCTTAACGAATAATGGGTGTTAAAAATATGGATCCAATATTAAGAATATAAGAAGATATTAAGAAAAATAATTTATAACAATCTCAAATTAGATACATCAAATCAAACTATCATACCAAATGACAAATATAGATCATAATATCATCATATCAATCTTATTTTTAAAAATATCATTATTATCATGCTTTTTTAATATAATAATTTATTTATGATAAAAATCAAAATTGAGAAATTGAGAAATTTGTCTTTTATTTTGTGTTTTGATAAGAAAGATGATTTATCATTTTCTTATTATTGAACTTTAAAGTTAAACCCGATAATTAATTCACCTAAAAACCAAATAATGAAAATAAATGAAATTTTATATTTAAGACAAAATTACAAAAATAATCCCTATGGTTTCTCATTTTATGTGGTTAAGGTCCAAACCTTTGAAAAACTGCAAATTTAGTCATTTTCAACAAGTTTTGTTGTGGTATTGGTCTCTCTTCTTGTAACGCCCGTACATCAGGGCTAGTCAATTTAGAGACGATAAGCATCAAAAATGACTTTTTGATGGAAGATTAATTTAGAAGGATTAATCTTAACTAAGTTATAGTATATGTTACAAGGATTCTGTACATATAAAGAACGCTGAAATCCGAGTTATAACAAAGAAGTTATGACCTGTCGAAGTTTCGCGACAGAACCGGCACGACACAGCGCGACATAAATAGTGAATTTACGTTAGAGCAATA